AGACACCCATGTTACCCACTAGATCATACCCTGCTGCCTGCAGAATCATTCATGGTGAATCATAAATCGATTTACGGGTTGAGAATTTAGCACATATGCTAGAGATGCTCAAAGCTAATCCTAGCTTTGCCAATATATAATCCACTCACGTGAAAAGCAAGATGCTTAGTTTTTTTAGAGGTTAAACCAAGCTTTATTGATCGAATTCCACATGATGTGCGATACCAATAGGATCATGGGGGTTCGACCAACCATGTTTGTCGCCCCGGATCAAGATAATGAAAAAACTTGGCCAACCTATCTACATCATCATTAGATACTCCACCTTCAAACATGAAATTACAATTCAAAAAAGAAGCTCTATGTCTAATTACACTAATGATAGCTCCATAAACACCATTACTGTTCCTCAAATGTGTTGATAACTTGTTTGGAGTCCAAAGCAATAATCACATTTTGGATCATCATATCCTCAGCCAAACAAAGTAGATGCTTAGTTGTCTGACAATTGGTAACGTAGTGAGTTCGCAAATGCATGTGCATGGGAAGACATGACAGACACGGGGAGTGAGTAGGCAGTGGAGCACATACAACTCTTTTTACCGGTGCTGGGAGCTATCGGCGAACCATCCACCGTTCACATGCTTTGCGATCTGTGTTTAAGTGGGACCCATTCATATGTATAACCATGTATTGTGGCAGTTAATTTTTTTATATAGTCAAATCAATGTCAGATTAATAGGGCCATGTTAGGAGAAGCAGTACTTTTTGCAGTGGGATGTACGCATACATGCATCATCTCTCCTCTCTCTCTCTCTCAGACCAATCCCTGCATTTTATTTTTGTTTACATTTTTAGATGGCCAATATTTTTTACAGCATTGTTTTATTATTTAAAATTTTCATATATTCAAATTATTGAACATAAGATCTTTAGAATGAGACCATCTTGAGTATATTTAAACTAGTTTAATTTTTACTATTTCAATCATATCAAAATATTAATTTTACTCATTTCAAATTACAATTTTTGAAATGATTGAAATCCGTTATTGAAATGACTGAAACCACTTTTCTGAATATAGTTTTCTTTGTGAGTTCCATAATCCAGCTTGTGAAACCGTTTCTTCAATGGAGTAAGTGTGATGTGTTTTTCTAGAACTAGTGAAATCTATCTTTTGTAATGATTGTAATCAGCTTTTTGAAACAAGTGAAATATAGTATTTCAACTGAGCGACTGTAATGTGTTTTCTGAAATGAGTGAAATGAGTTGTTTGAAAAAAGTGAAATATATCTTTTTGGTGTGAAACAACTTTTTCAATGTGTGAAACTGATATTTCTGCTGAGTGAAATATGTTTCAATTATTTTTTCATAAATACGAATTGCAATTAGTTTTTGAGATATATTTTGTAATGAATGAAATCAGTTTTCCAAATCAGTGAAATGCGCTGTTTCAAATTTGTGAAATACTTATTTTGGAAACTAGTGAAATGAGTGTAATACATTTTCTGAAAATGGGTGTAATGTGTTTTCTGAAACTAATGAAATGGGTGAAATCTATATTTTTGTAAATGAGTGCAGTGTGTTTTCTGAAATGAGTGAAATAAGTTATTTGAATAAAAGTGAAATGAAACCATTTTTTTGCTGTGAAATTATTTTTTTGTGTTTGAAACTGATACTTTTTACGAGCGGAATACATTTCAATATATCTCGTAAATTTGCAGTGAGATTAGTATTGCAAATGAGAGTAATGTGTTTTCTGAAACGTATGAAATCTATTTTTGAAACTAGTGAAATAGTTTTTAACTGATAATTTTTTAAAATGAGTGTAATGTATTTTCTGAAATAAGTGAAATCTATTTTTTGCAAATGAGTGTAATGTGTTTTATGAAACTAGCGAAATGAGAGAAATATATCTTTTGTAACAAGTGAAATCAGTTTTTTGAAACGTATGAAATATGTATTTCAATTGAGTGAGCGTAATGTGTTTTCTGAAATGAGTGAAATGTATCCTATTTAATTGAGTGTAATGTGTTTTCTGAAATGAGTGAAGTCTATCCTTTGTAAACGAGTGTAGTGTGTTTTCTAAAACTTGTAAAATGAGTGAAATATGTTTCTTTTCATTGAGAATATGTTCTCTTGAAATCAGTTAAATAAAATTAGTTGAAACATATCCAATATTGGTCTTATTTTAAAATTCATGGCGCAAGCAATTCAAATCTATAAAAGGTTTAGAAGGCGAATAATCATTTCAAAAGTCATCTACTATTCTAACTACCACAATGAAATAAAATGCTAGTCATTTTGAAGAGAGATAATATTATATGCATGCAGCCACTCACCTTCTCTTCGCTCATATTCTCTTCCCTCATATACACAATGGTGTACCATACTGAAAAGATGTCAGGTATGACAGATTGTATTTGGCGTTATTAGAACTACTGCGCAGAAGAAGCACATAGAAAAAGAAAAATGC